AAAATAAATAAATAAAATATTTATTTTATTGGTATTGTGTCCAACTACAACTAAAAAATAAATATTTTTTAAAAGAAATTAATATTTGTATAATACTATTAAGTAAATTACAGACTTCATTTGGATTCATCAGTTTTTTCATTAATGTCAGTATTCTACTTCAGGATCCAATCTAAGCTATTCCTCTATATTTAGGAATAAATACTTTGATTCATATTCTTAGATTTTCTCTAGACGTGTAGTTCCACTCCATATTGAATTAGCAATATAGTAAGGCTTCTCACTTACCAATAGTTATTATTTTCCTTTCCAAAAATATCTTTAGAATTTGATGGTTAAAACTGGTATCTCACTGTATTACTTGAATTTTGATGAGTTTGAAATTATTTCATATTATTGGACATTTGAATAAAAAGTTTTTGGTTTTTGCCTATTTTTAAAATCAGTAGTAGAACTCCTATAATATGTGTAAAGTGCTTGTAAGTCAGTGCTATAATAGATATAAGCATTCTATATATTAAGAATAATAAACTTTTGTAAAGGCTGTAGAATATTTTCATGATTTGAGGTAGTTTTGAAAATAAAGAAACTTTCAATTTTTTGTGTCACCAAATTTATTGTTTTAGTTTTGTGATATTCTATGACCTTTTACAGAGTTAGGTTTTGCTATTTTAAAATTTCTCCTTTAAATCAACACATAAAATCAACACATAAAATTCGTGCACATTTTTAGGGCACATAATTCAATACATGTGTACAATGTGCAGTGATCAAATCAGGGTAATGAGCATTCCTATCTCTATTATTTCTTTATATTTGGGGCCTTCAAACTCCTTGAGCTTTTTATAAAATATATAATAGGTTGTTTTAAACTATAGTCATCCTACTGTATAGTAGAACATTAGAACTATTCCTCCTCTCTAATGTATTTTGGTACCCATTAGTCAACCACCCTCTATCTCCCCTTCTCCCAGACCACAGTAATCTTTATTTTACTCTTATCTTCATTGAGGTCAACTTTTTCAGATTTCATACAGGAGACAGAACATGAGGTAATTCTGTGTCTGGCTCATTTTGTTTAATAGAGTGTCTTCTAGTTCCATCCATTTTGGTGCTCGTGACAGGATTTCATTCTTTTTTTTAAGGCTGAATGATATTGCATTATGTATACATACCACGTTTTCTTTATCCATTTATCTATTGGCAAGCATCTAGCTGATGCTAGAGTGAACAGTGTTACCATAAATGGTAATCCAGGTATCCCTTTGATATACTCATTTCATTTCCTTTGTATACATACCCAGAAGTAGGTCAGCGGAAGCATATGGTAATTCTATTTTTAGTTTCTGGAGGAATCTCCATGTTGTTCCCTATTAATGGCTGTACTAAATTTACCTTCCCACCAGAAGTGTAAAAGAATTCTGTGTTCTCTGCACCCTTGCCAGCATTTGGTTTTGATAACTCTTCTGGCTGGGGTGTGATGATATCTCATGATGGCTTTGACTTCATTTCCCTGATGATTAGTGATGTGGGGCAGTTTTTCCACGTGTTTTTTTTTCTTTTGGCCATTTGTTTATCTTCTTTTGAGAAATGCCTTATTTAGACAATTTATATAATTTTTAATAATTTTATCATGGTATAATCAAATAAAAGCTGTATATATTTAAACTGAACAACTAGGTGTCCTTCTTCTCTAAGGTGGAATAATGTTCCTCTCTATGTATTTGTGTATATGACGGGTTTTCCTTATCCATTTATCCATGAGTGAACATATTCCATCTCTTGGCCATTTTGAATAATACTGCAGTGAACAAGGAATTGCAGATAAATCTTCAAGATCTTAATTTAAATTTCTTTGGTATATAGCAAGAAGGGGGATTGTTGAATCATATGGTAGTTTTATATTTTTTTGGTACTGGGGATTGAACACAGGAGTACTTTACCACTGAGCCACATCCCCAGCCACTTTTACTTTTTAAATTTTGAGACAAGGCCTCACTAAGTTGCTGAGACTAGGCTTGAACTTGTAATCTTCCTGTCTCAGTGTTCCGGGATGCCAAGATGACAGGCATGGGCCACCATGCTCAGCTCTATTTTTAATTTTTTGAGAAACTTCTATATTGTTTCCAAAATTGTTGTACCAATTCACATTCCTATCATTCCCTTTTCTCCACATTCTTAACAACACTTCTTTCTTCTTGTCTTTTCAATAATAGCTATTTTGGGGGGAGTTACCAAGGATTGAACTCAGGGGCACTGAACCCTGAGCCACATCCTCAGCTCTATTTTATTTAGAGACAGGCTCTCACTGACTTGCTTAGCATCTTGCCATTGCTGAGGCTGGCTTTGAACTTGAGGTCCTCCTGCCTCAACCTTGCAAGCCAATGGGATTACAGGAGTGTCCTAACATGCCCTGCTCAATAATGGCTATTTTAATGGGTATTATATCTGGTTGTGTTTCACTCTGTATTTCCCTGATGATTAGGGATGTTGCACACCTGTTCTTGTACCTGTTGGCCATTTGTTTATCTTCTTTTAGAAATGTCTATTCAGGACCTTTGCCCATTTTATAATTGGGCTATTTGTTCTTTTGCTATTGAGTTGTGTGAGTTCCTTATATATATTGAATATTAACCCCTCATGAGATGTATGGTTTGCAACTATTTTCTCCCATTCCATAAGTTGCCTTTTGCTGTTCAGAAGGCTTTAAATTTAATGTGATCCTACTTGTCTATTTTTGCTTTTTTTGACTAAACTTTTGGTGTCATATCCCAAAACTGCCAAGACAATGTCAGGAAGTCTTTCTTTTTCCTCTTTATTCTAGTAGTTTTTTTTGAGGGGGGGTGGGAACCGTGGATTGAACTCACAGGCACTTGACCACTGAGCCACATCCCCAGCCCTATTTTTTATTTTATTTAGAGACGGAATCTCACTGAGTTGCTTAGCGCCTCGTCACTGCTGAGGCTGGCTTTGAACTTGCAATTCTCCTGTCTCAGCCTCCCGAGCCGCTGGCATTACAGGCGTGCACCCCCGTGCCTGGCCTCTTCCAGTAGTTTTAAGTGCAATTTCAGATCTTATGTTTAGGTCATTAATCCATTTTGAGTTGATTTTCTCATGCCGCGTGAGATAAAGGCACTGATTTCTTTCTTTAGCACGTGGATGTCCAGTTTCCCAACCCCAATTACTGAAGAGACAAGCCTTTCTCCATTGCATTTTCTTGGCACCTTTGTGAGTCCAAGTTGGCTGTAAGTGCATCACTGGATTCTCTCTTCTGTTTCACTGATCTACATATCTGTTTTCACTGTCAGCACCATATTGTTTAGATCACCGTGGCATTTTATTATATTTTGAAATAAGGAAGTGTGATACCTTCAGCCTTGCTATTTTTGCTCAAGGTTGCTTTGGCTATTTGTGACCTTTTGAGGTTCCATATGATTTTCAGGATTGTGTTTTCTTAGTCTGTATAGAATGCCATTGAGATTTTGTTAGTAACTGCATTAAATCTGTAGATCACTTTGGGTAGCATGGTGGTCTTTAATATTAATTCTTCCAGTCATGGGTGTGGGATGTCTTCCCACTTATCTGTGTTTTCTCTAATGTCCATCATCAGTGTTTCATCATTTTCAATATACTAGTCTTTCACCTCGTTGGCTAAGTTTATTCTTAAGTATTTTATTCTTTTAGTTGTTAATATAAATTTGGTTTTCTGATTTTGGGATGATTTTCTGATTTTCATATTGATTTGGTATTCTACAACTTTACTGGTTTATTCTAACAGCTTTTTATTGAGTCTTTGGGGTTTTCTAAATGTATGATCATGTCACATTCAGAGAAAATTTTCCTTCTAGTTTGGATTCTTTTTATTTTTATCTAATTGTTTTGGCTGAGGCTTCCTGTACTAAGTTGAATAACAGTGGTGAGGGTGAGAATTCCTGTCTGTACCAGCTCTTAGCTAAACAGCTCTCAGTTTTCTCCTATTGATTATGTATTCTGTGGGATTTACACATAAAATCTTGTGTTGGAATTAAGTTCCTTCTGAGCCTATTTTGTTGTGTTTTTATAATCAAGAATTTTGTTGAATTTTGTCATGAGTTTTTTTTCTATATCTATTATCATGTGACTTTCATCTTTTATATTCTTAATTGTGGTGTATCACACTGATTGATTTGCATATTGGGCCATCCTTGCATCCCAGGGATAGTTCCTATTAGGGCATAGTACAATGTTTTGAATATGCTGTTGAATTGGTTTTAAAAAAAATGCCCACCTTGGGGAATGATATTGACCAAATTATAAGTTATATTATGTGTTTGTGTAAGTATGTAACCCTAAGTCCCTACTGTTATGTAGAATTATAATGCATCAATAAAAACATGGGAAAAAAAAGAAAAATAAAAAATAAACTGCCTATTTGATCTTCAGGAAGTGAGAGGGGTACTGATGCAGAGGGTCAAGGCACCAGGCAGCTTCTAGGGCTCTGATTATGGTCTTTTTGTTGGATTAATTGTATTTCAATTAGAAGATGGAAGGCAACTGTGTTCCTCTTTGATCAATCTACTCTTTAAGTAGATAATGGAACTTCAGAGAAATCCCCATCCAGCATTTGTGGATCCTCATGTACCATAATTTTAAGTAATCACCACACCAATGCACATCTTGAGGTGACATTCCCTAGATAAGGTCAAGAGACAAGCACTCAGTACTCTGCCACTTTGTAGATCTGTCTTTCTCTTATACGGTGCTGGGTTTGGATGTGAGATACGAGAAACTTGGGCTTCCTTATTTATCTTTCCGTATCTTGTGATAGAATCACTTAACTTTACTCTGAGGGCATATTTTTAAAAGAATTTCCCTCCTGTCTAAAGACCATGCCAATACTGTATTGCGGCCATCTCTCTTTGAAGGTCTGTTTCCTCTGTCATTTCTTAACATGCCATTTGGTAAAAACAAAACTTTGTTAGGAATTAAAATAAAACAAAAAAATCAGACATGACACTGTCTCCATAAAAACAAAAAGTTTAATAAATGCACCCAAAAGTATAAAATATGAAGACTAAAAGTTAGATATTAGGCAGAATTATAAAATAGAGTACAATTACTTTCATAGTTCAGAGAAACCATGAAATGTCAAATTGAAGAATGTCTGTGTATGAGAAAAATATCAACAGTCCTTCAGTCATGTGCCATATAAAGATATTTTTTAAATGCTACAGTTAGAGGCATTGTATTTAAAAGTTTAATAAACTTCTGATTCTGACACAATGTCATGGAAAACAGAACAAACTCTTTGGTTAGGAATACCGAAAATCCATCTATAAAGAGTAAGAAATTTGCTAATGCTGTTATTAGTTCCATTCAAAAAAGCATATGAATTTCATTTCAGGAACAAACTGTCCCATTGCAGTGTAGGATAATCAGTCTACACAAGTATTGCCTTGTCTAAAATCTGTACAACCTCTCCAGTTCCTCTGCATTTAGTCTATTAGCTTTTCTCTTTTTATTAAAAATAAAAATTCTTAAGGCACCTAAAGAGTAGCCTGTATTTCATCTACCTGTATTGCAAGTGCTTAATTATATTTATAAAAAGCAAAAGAATGGTATATAGATAATACAAAGAATGTAGAGTCAAACCAAATCAATAGTTGATTACATAATATTCCATCTTTTCTTGGGTTTTTATTAAGCAGAATTATTTTCACTCCTTGAACATGCAGGAGTCTGCCTAGGAATGTGCTCAAAGGAAAAATCCAGCCTCACATTCAGAATTGCCCTGGAATGCCCTTCATGGACTAAGAAGATCTAAGTACCTAAAGTGGTTAATGACAGATCAAGAAGTCAGAGGTAACTGAGATCTGGTGTCTTTACTGGTCTGGAAAACAGAGTCAAGTTCAGTATTTCATCTTTGGCTCTTTTCTTGCCTTCTTTGCTATTGGGAGTAAAAGCATTCACTCCTTCCCTCCTTGGGGAAAGTAAGTATGAGGCCCATGGATGTGGCCCAGTCTCTAGCTGCTGGGAGCTTACATTCTGTTATATTTAAACACATAAGGCATCATTCTAAGTTAGTTTAGAATGGTTGTTTTAAATGAACAAATGTCTAGTAATTTTTTAAAAGCTGGCTTAAACCAACATTAATAAATAATACATACTGATTTTTTAACATCATCTCTAAGCAACAAAAAAACAACCTATAGCATTCAAATGGGATGGGATATTCCCTTAAGCAACCTTCTTAAAATTCATTCACATGTGGACCGGGCAAGGGGCTGAAAGAGAGCAACAGTGCTACATCCTTGCTTCAAGGAGTCGGTCTGGGCTGAAAAGGGCCCCAGCTAACTGGGGCGAGCTACAGGCTCAAGAGGTGGTAGTACTGATAAGTGGCTCAGAGAGCACTCTCCATCACAAGAACTAGTGGTGCCAAGGGATGACACTTCTTCACCAGGTGCCTTAAGTTCACTAGGCCTCAGCTTTATTAGCTACAACCTGGCACCCTTTTAATGTGGCAACTATAAACACACACAAAGCATTAGGAAAGGCTCAAAAATACAGCTGCTCATATTCTATCATGATTTCTTCCACATAAAGAATATTATGGGAAAATCAAGGAAAGGGCCAGTTATTCTTTGAAGTACATCCTCACTGGAGGAAATACCAGCATACTGGGCAGGACAACTCTTCATTGCACAGGACCACTTTGCATACAGCATCCCCATCCTGCATGTCAGTAGAAGGCCAGGAGCAGGGCATCCATCATCATGATGAACCAAAAAAAAAAAAAAAAAAAAAAAAAGAAAGAAAATGCACTCATATATTTCCAAACGTCCCTGGAAGGGGTTACCACCTGGGATGAGAACTGTTCTTCTAGAGGGATCTTCTTTATTAAGAAACAATGTAGTTCTTTTAATAAAGAATAAACACACCTTTCTGTATTTGTGTTTGAGAGCATTCAAGGATCAGACATAGAGAGCCTGGTGGCAGGGAGAACAGGAGAGGACTCTAACCTACACCCACATCCATTCTGATGACAGTGTCCAAGGCTGGACGCCACTTTCATATTGTTGGAGGTCTTAAAAAGTTGGGAGGTGGATCTTCTACCTCTTATTTTCATCTCTAGACTTGGTCAAATTGGAAAAATATGAGGCATTTGACCTTCCTTAGTGCTGAGAGGTAGAGAGAAGGCAAGTGTTGCTACCTTCATTGTAACATGATGGATGATGGAGGCACTGAGGGATGAGAAGATATATTCATAGGTGGATGCCATGACAACTAAAATCCGGAGTTCCTGCTTCCTGATCCGATACTTGGTAAATTAGATACATGTGTTACTAAAGTGACTGAAGTATCCTGCTGAGGAATCCTCCAAGATGGAAGCTCCCATGAGCTCTAACCTCTCTCCAACTATTGTTCTCTTATCTGAGCCTAACTTGGATCCGCTAAGGCGCTGGACCCACTGTCAATTGCAGTAGTCAGATTTAGAAGAACATATATTTAGGTATCTGTTTACCTTCTCTTTTTTAGGTATCTGTGTGCTTCATCTCTTTGAAATGATTATATTAAATGGATAAGGAGCTAACGTTAGACCAAATCTTCCAGTCAGGTTGGGCTTCTTAGAATCCTTAGGTAAAGCAAATGTGAAAGTCTGCATCAGGCTCACAAACATGAGGAATAATTCCATCTTTGCCAGCTGCTCTCCCATACACACCCGCTTCCCTAAAAAATGAGATCAGAAAAAAAAGTAAAGATTATAATATCATCCCTTTTACTGTTTTACAAGTACAAATTTATAAGAAATCTCTAAATTAAGTACTTTAAATGCACATGGGAGAGTTTTAAAATTGCCAGTTATACCATAAAATCTCCCATGGTGTATATTAATCAAAATTTTTGTATACCAAGTTCACACTTTCACGCCTACTAATAAAAACCTATCATCTAGACAGGAACCGCAGACAAATCCAATGGGCAGCTACCCTGTCTTTTCCACACGTACTTATGTCTTTTCTTTACTGTCACCTGGAAGATTAAAGGGGGAAAAGTCAGATTAGATTCTTTGGAACCTTCCTTTTCCATAGAAAGGATCCACATTACTAATCTGGAAACCCCAAAGGACCTGGTGAGATTAGACAACCCCCCTCACCCACCAGCCTACAGGTCACAAGTTACTCTTAACTCCAATGGTTTCCTGGGACCTAAACAATAGCCTAGACAGTCCAGAAAGGAAGATTTCAAGGCATATTTAAAGATCAAAAACCAACTGCCTTCTTTTTTTCTTTTTTAAGATTGAACCCAAGGCCTTGCACACACTAAGTAAAATGTTCTACCAGTGCGATACACCTCCAGCTCTTATTTTGTTTTAAAAATTTGAAATGAACTTAGAGAAGATGCATTATCTAAATTATTTGCCTCTTACATTATCTTGTCAATAAAGAGGCATTCTTAAAACAACATAAAACAATAAAAGATTGTTTTTAGTTCTGCCTCCCCCCACACCCGCCTTTGTGTGGAACTGGGGAATCGAACCCAGGGATTCACGCATGCTGTAACAGAGCACTTATTCTACTGTGCTCCCAGACCAAAGTTCTACTTCTTTTTAGACTTATACCATTAACAAAACAAAAGTTTGACTGACCTATCCCAAATGGAATAAAGAATTCTTTTTTTAAAAGTTGTCCTTGGTCATCCAGAAATCGATCTGGGTAGAAGTCTTCTGGTTTCTCCCAAATGGTTGGGTCTCTGTGTACTGACCATAAATTGGGTAAGATCAATGTTCCTTTAGGAATGGTGTACCCTTGGAGCACTACAGCAAACAAACAAACAAACAAACAAAAACCCACAGTGTTATTCAACGTACTTATTAGTTCACTAATAGTTCTCCCTAAATACCACTATCTGACCAAAAAAAAATCTAGTTTTATATATATATATATATATATATATATATATATATATATATATATATTTGCTCTCTTATTTGGCTGAGAGTAAACTGTGAGGAACTTTAGGGTAGATGTTAGTATGGCATCTTTCTATCCATACCATCCCAGGATCTAGCCAAAGATGGGACACAGTAAGTACTCTGATAGATATTGAGTTAATGCATTCAGTCAAACCATAAAAACATTATGATTAAGTAAAAACACAAAAACAAAAACAATAGAGCATCACAGATGAACTTTCCCAAAGAATTACAAATTCCTGAGAATCATATAAAACATATCTGTTTACAGGGTCTTTTACATCTACAGATCAATCTGATGAGGAAGGTAAGTGAAGATAAAGGGTATACAGGAAAGTCAGCCCCTGCTCTTACTAGCTAACAAGTTAGTATGCACTGTAAGAGTCCATTATCTAGGGCTAATGCCCAAAAGACACCATGCACATTGGAGAGTATCTAATTTGTACCAAAAAATGGTTAAGTGATCCAACATCATTTACAAGTAACTGCTTGCTACAACTGTCTTGTAGTACATTCAAGCCCACTGAATTATGCACTATCTCTAAAGAAGGTAAATTCCTTATTAATAGGGATGTTCAAAGACATCTGGAAGTGACCAACTGGGCATATTTTACGGTCAATAAGAAGTTGAAATGAGAGACCCTAGAATCAGAGGGGCTCCTTCTAATTCTTTAATATTTATACTTTGATTGCAGAATTTAAAGCACTGAAGTGGGGTAATTTCCAGCTAAATCCTTAATTTCACATTTACACCAGCTCTTCTGACTTCCACGATGAGGACTAGAGATGCCTTTGTTAATTCTGGAATTTTTTTCCTGCCAACACAGCTGACTGAAATGGTGGCACTCTTTGTTTTGCCAGGATAAGCATGAATGCTCTGAAGGCTGGAGAGCTATCAATCACACTCAGCTAGTGCTGGAATGTCAGTGTAACTAATGACGGACAACTGAGGGCTGAAACATCCCCTGGAGAGTCCATTATCTAGGGCCAATGCTAATTCCAGTGCCCACCGTGCCTCTCACCCCAGCTCTGCAGGGTCTGGGGGCTGTGCCCCCCCCCAAGGGCATCCAAAGGAGAAAGTCCCTGGACTTGCCTGTTTTCTCTGAGGTCATATGAGGAACAGCGAGTGGCACCACCACGGTTAGCCTCTGCACCTCCATGATGGTGGCTTCTGTGTAGGGCATCTGGGCCTTGTCTGTGAGGGAAGGAGGTCGATGGGGACCAATGACCCTTTCAATTTCTTCATGAACCTTTTCTGCATAAAAAGGGAAGAATCGACCAGAAGTTGAGCCTGCACCCATGCACACTTTCCTTTACCACTTACACGTGATTGACTAGCTGGCAGGGCAGTGGAGACAGCTATCCCCAGGAGGTTGAACCTGCTAGCGGGGACTTTTAAAGGAGGACAGCAGAACAGATAAAGGGGCAAAGGAGTAAGCACCTGGATTCAGGAGCACCCCGAATCACACTCTCATGCAAACAAGAGCTTGACTCTCTAAGCTGACTATAGCAATAGTGTTAGCCCAAGATGGCCTCCAGTGAACCCTGTTCCATGGGGTTTGCAAATACTGGGATCTGGAATATCCCCTGAAGGCTCATGAATTAAAGGATTTTTCCCCATAGTGTCACTAAGAGGTGGTGGAAACTTTAAGTGGTACCTAGTGGGAAGTTCTAGTTCATTAGGGGTGATCTTGAAGAGGGTAGTGAAATCCTGCCCCTTCTTCTCTCTTTCATATTCTGACCATGAGGTATGCTTTGCTTTACCACGTGCTCCCTATATGACATGCTGCTCTGCCACAGGCCCAAAAGCAATGGAGCCAACTGACCATGGACTGAAACCTTTGAAACCATGAGCCAAAATAAAACTTTTCTTGGTAAGTTGATTGTCTCAGGTGTTTTGTTACAGTAACAGAAAACTGACTAACACAGGGTCCCTATCCTAGTGCATTCCCCCTCACACTTTGTGTAGCAAGTTGGTACAAGTTGTGATCAATGAGAAGGGAGAAGGTCACTTCTGAGATTAGTCTTTGCCACTCACTCTCTCAAGTCACTCACTCTGGGGGAAGGTAGTTGCCAAGTTAAGTATCCTTATGTAAAAGGTCAGAGTAGTCTGTAGCCAACAGTCATGTGGATTGTCAACTTAGAAGTGGGTGCTTCAGTCCCTGCCAAGTCTGTAAACAACTGTGGGCCCAGCCAACATCTTGACTGCAACTCCATGAGAAACTTTGAACTAGAATCATCCCAGACAAGCTGTTCCTGGATTCCTTACCCTCAAAAACTACATGAGAAAATAGTTATTGTTTTAAACTGCTAAATTTTGGGATGATCTGTTATTCAGCAGTAATTAATATAGGTCTGCACCAATTCCACCCATGGTAGGAAAAATAACAGCCCCTCCAAGATATCCATACCCTAATATTACCTTTGGTACTTTGTAAATATGACATGTTACATGATATCTTCTTCCATTTTCTGTAGCTATAACAAAATACCTGAGGCTGGTTACTTTACAAAGACAAGAGGCTTATTTAGCTCAGAATTTTGGAGGCTGAAAGTCCAAGATCAGATTAGCCCCATCTGTTTGGTATCTGGTAAAGGCCCCCTCAACTGCATCACAACATGGAAAATGGCATCACAGCAGCATCGCATCTGAGAGGGAGAGATCATTCAGCAAACAGGAAGCCAAAAGGAATCAGGGGGCAAACCTCCTCTTTTTATAATACCCACCCTTGCAGGAACTAATTTGTCCTATGAGAACCACATTAATCCCTTAGAGGGTGCAGCCCCACAACTCCATTACCTTGCTCTAGGTGCCACTTCTCACAGGTTCCACCACCTCAACTCTGCACACTGAGAACCAAGCTTCCATCACATAAACCTCTGGGGGGACACCTTCAAACTATACCTAAACCATGGTACCTGACAAGAGGGACCATGTTGATGTGATTAAGTTAAGCTCCTAGAGATGGGGAGACTATCCTGGGTTATGTGGATGTGCCCAACCAGTGCAGCCATATTTTGCATAATGATGTTTCAGCCAACGACAGACCCATGGACAGTGGTCCATAAGATTATATTGCCTAGTGACACTGTGGCTGTCTTGTTTTAAGTGCGCTCTGTGATGCTCGCCCAATGATGAAAGCACCTAATGAGACATTCTCAGAACACGTCTCATGGTTAAGTGACACAGGTTTTAAAGTCAGAAAGCCTTCCCAGTTGAGTGCAGAGGCACAGGGAGATCTGACTATGAAAGAATGGCCAGAGTTGTGACATGCTGGCTGTGAACTGGAGGAGGGAGCCAAGCCAAGAATGCTAGGAAGGGCAAAGAAATGGATTCTCCTCCAGGGCTTTGGGAAAAGAACTGTCAGCATCTTGATATTTAGTCCAGTGAGACATATGTCAGACTTCTAATGTATAGAACCAAATGATAACAAATCTGTGTTCTTTTAAAGACACCAGCAACAATAAAAACCAAAGGTTATATCCTGTTATAGCAGCATAGAAACTAAAGCACCACCCTTTCCTCTTCTCCTATTTCCTGTTGCCAGTGCTCACTATCTATTGGTCCTGACGTGGTGCAACCAGCTGTGCTACTTTCATGAGCCGCTCTAGGCCTCTGTCTTCTGTTTTTCAAAACCATGGTGAGTAGGTTCAGAGGAGTGTTATGATCCCCTTCAGCTCCAAAATGTCCTACCACTGTACATTTCATAGGTAACAGACCTGTGGAGATTAAAGCGGGGGGGGGCAGTTATGACAGGAGTCCTACTGTCTACAAACTCGGGGTTTCACATGTACTTTGCACCAACTCCCTATGGGATGCAAGCATTTATTTCCTCATCCAGCCTGAAGATATTGCTTAGTGCTTGAAGGTTGTTAATCCTGATTTCAATAATCTGGTTTTGCTATGAATGAAGAATTCATCGGTTACCTTGCACATCAGGGTTCAATGACATATACAGCAGGCACCACAGCAGAGAGTTTGTTGTAGTATCTGTCCCAGCAATAAAAAGATCCCCGATGATATAAAATAAGTAATCTTCATTAAAACTACTGTGGCTATTATTTTTCCTCTCTTCCTCCATGTGCAGAAGGTACATGTCTATGAAGTCCTGAGGGTTCTCAGCATCCAGAGACTCTTGATGGTCTTTGATGATCTGTTTAAGGAAAGTGGTTATATCCTTTTCAATTAGTCTTAATTCCTTATATGGTCCAAAGGGAAGGTAATACAGCCAGGGGCATATGTTGATCAGGAGGAGCTGGCTGTTGAGGCAGATTTCTAACCCTCGTGACATGAAATCTAGCATCCTCTTAAACTCACTGTTGGTATAATCAAAGCGTCGTCCAAAGCACAAGGAGCAGATGATGTTAGAGACGGCGTTGCTGATGATGGGGAAAGGGCTGAAGGGATTTTCTCCCTGCTTTTGCATTTCCTCCTTCACATACTTGAACTCCTCAATAATCTTGGGCTCCAAGCTAAGCTTTCCTAAGCCAAAATGGCGAAGAGTGGAATGAGAGAACTTCCTTTGTTGTCTCCAGACTGGGCCATAAGGTGCGAAAACAACCCCTGTAAAAGGACACCCAAGAAAGGAAGGTGAGAGAGAAGGATGCACAACAAGACTGAACAGGACCTGCAGGGGCATATATTCTGCATGTTTCAGAGCATTTATGCAAAGTTCATAAACAGATAAAGACCACCACCGGTCAAGAAGGATGACTAACAAAATTTAGTCATTGAGATAGTTTATGTTTCTCATAACGACGAAAATCACTTCCACTTCAATTGGAAGAATTTGCTATAGAGCTATTTTACTATTGATAATAATTCTTGGTAACAAGAAGAGCAAAGTTTCAATGTCCCAAACTAGTATGTGCATTTAAAAATCTTTCTATTTCATAAGAGTGAATCCATGCTTAGAAAATCTATCAAACCAAGCTGGGTGTGGAGGCTCACACCTGTAATCCCAGGGTTTTGGGGGGCTGAGACAGGAGGATCGTGAGTTCAAAGCCAGCCTCAGCCATGGTGAGGTGCTAAGCAACTCAGTGAGATCCTGTCTCTAAATAAAATACAAAATAGGGCTGGGGATGTGGCTCAATGATTGAGTGCCCCTGAGTTCAATTCCTGATAGCCTACACCTCACCCCCCAAAAAAGCAAATATATCAAGGCAGACACATCCATGAGCAAATCATCTATATTCTAAACATTAGCAACAGAGGGATAAGTATGGTAACAGATGGACCTGAGGGCAGAGACTATATCTGATTGTGTTCACCATTAAAATCCCAGCTTCTAGAATACTGCTGGGCACACAGGAGGAACTTGCTAATTATTAGCTGAATAAATGAACAGCACAACTGGATTAGAATTACTAGCCTTCAATGTTTAGAATCTTGCAACTGGCAGGTAATCTTAAATATCAGTTGTTGGTAACACTCCTCTTTTATTTATTTATTTTAATATTTAATAATTATTTTAAATATATATTTTTAAATTTGTTCTAATTACACATGACAGTAGAATGCATTTTGACATATATGGAAGTAACTTCTAATTTGTCTGATTGTACATGATGTAGAGTTATGCAGGTCATATAATCGTATATGCACATAGGGTAATACTGTCTGATTCATTCTACTATCCTTCCTACATCCATACCTGCTCCCCTCCCTTCACTTCCCTGTCTAGTCCAAAATACCTCTATTTTACCCACACTTTATTATGAATTACCATCTGTATACCAGAGAAAATAAGTGGCCTTCAGTTTTTTCATATAATTTTTGGCCTCTTCTAGCTTCTTATTCTAACAATTTGCATGCCTGAAAATGTATTTATTCCACCATTGCACTTCCTCTGAAATTGGAAGACCGTGCTAAGACTTGATTGATGGAGTTATAAAGTACATATATTATTTCTCTTAGCACAATATTCTCCAGTTTCATCCATCTACCAGAAAATGCCATAATTTCATTCTTCTTTAAGGTTCAGTAATATTTCATTGCATATATATACCACAGTTTCTTTATTCATTCATCTGTTGAAGGGCACCAAGGTTGGTTCCATAGTTTAGCTATTGGGTAACATCCCTCTTTTAAAAACATCTGCACTCATTAAGTTCATTACAAATACTTGATTATTTGATTCTCACTTGCTCATCTCCCACCATCAAACCCAACAATATTATTCCCAGATGTATCAGTTGTTCTCAAATATTTCCCGTTTCCTGTCACCTGTTTTATCCTCCTGGTTTTCATGGTGTGCTTTATCATTTCAGCCAGTTCTTCGTCCTTCCCATATCATTTCTGAATGCTTACTCTGTGCTAGGAAATAGGATGCCAGATACAGTTGAGAATGAAATACAGACCCTGCTCGGTGATTAAGTCTTCTCATACTCTTTAATACTTTTATAAAATGCCTTTCAATGGTAAGCATCCATGTGGTCAAATAAATCAGATGGTCTGTCTATCCCGTGTTCCTTCCTGGACTCTTCCAAATGTATTCACAACTCTGAAGTGGCTGATCCCTAGGCTTCCCGTCATCACTTGGGGATTTCCTTAGGAGTCTTCTGTGTCGGAATCATTTCCTGGTTCCTATGTCTTCCTCTTTCTTGTTTTACTCCCAAATTTTGCTGAAGTACTTTCTCTAGTAGTTCCAAGAAAGGATGCATGGAAGGCCAGTTTCTAACAATTTGTGTGTCTGAAAATGTACTTATTCTACACTATGGCACTTCCTCTGAACTTGGAAGACAGTGCTAAGACTTGATGGATGTCATAAAGTACGGACATCTTTGACATGAGTAGACATTGCTAAGTTACTCTCCAAAGTGAGAGCATACCAAGAATGTACCCACCAGAAGTATATGAGCATTCTCATTTGTTCCAAATAGTTGCCAAGTTGCCATTACTTGATATTTGTCAACATTATTATTTTTGCCAATGGGAGGACTGAGGTATACCTCATGATTTCTATTTGCATGTCTCTGAGGGTTAACTGTGGCTCAGCGCAGCTTTTCATATGGTTACCAGCCTATTTTGGCTTCTTATTCTATGGGTTTACGCTGATCAACTGTACAATTTTCTTCTTATAAATTCTAGGTGCACGGCAGATCTCTCACCACCTGCTCACCCCCCCACTTACGGTATTTGACAAACAGAAAGATTCACTCTTGCATTTATCAATCTTTTTCTTTATGATACGTGCTTTATACCTTACTTTAGAAATATCTTCCTGCCATGAGCTCAGAGAGACACTATTTTCTTATAAAATTTAAAATTCAGCTTTTTTTATGTTCAATTCTCTCTGCCTGGAATTATAATCATGTTAGGTGTTTCTACCTAAGCATAAAACTAAACCTTTTTTCCTCCATGCAGATGCTCCACTGTTCAAGCACAATTCATTTAACACCTCTCTCACCCCTGGCATCTGTAACGCTGCCTCTGTCGGGTTTCCTACACACTGGTTCTTATAGTTTAGATTTGAGGTGTCCCCCAAAAGCTCCTGTGTTAATACAGGAATATCCAGAGTTGAAATAATTGGATTAAGAGAGTTGTGACCTAATCAGTCCATCCTAGATCGCATGGGCTGAGTAGGTGGCAACTGTAGGCAGGTGGGGCGTGGCTGGAGGAGGTGGGTCACTGGTGTGTCCTGGAGGGTTTTTCTTCCTGCATCCCTTTCCCTTCACTCCTAACCTCTCCCTCTCCCCTCACCCTTCTCCCACTCTCTGATTCCTGAGGCTGACATGAGCTGTGCAGTGTTTCCTCACTGGGTCCTTCCTCCATGATGTGTGCTTCATGGACTGAGGCCTCTGAAACCCTGAGCCCCAAACAACTCTCCCCACCCCCAAGCTGTTCTTGTAAGATATTTTGGTCACATTGACAACAACACTGACTAAAACATCAGTTTATAGGTTTTCTATTCTGCTACATTGTTCTACTTATCACTGTTTAAAGCTTATTATTATTATTATTATTATCATTATTATTATACTAAGGATTGAACCCAGGGGCAATTAACCACTGAACCATATCCCCAGCCCTTTTTTGTATTTTATTTAGACACAGGATCTTGCTGAGTTGCTTAGGAACTTGTTAAATTGTTGAGGCTGGCTTTGAACTTGAGAACCTCCTGCCTCAGCCTCCCGAGTTGCTGGGATTATAGGCATGCATCACCACACCCAAGATAAAGCATATTATCTTTTTTTAAATATTTATTTTCTTAGTTGTAGGTGGACACATATCTTTATTTCATTTTTATGTGGTGCTAAGGATCAAACCCAGTGCCTCACGAGTGCTAGGAGAACACTCTACCACTGAGCCACAACCCAGTCCCAAGCATATTATCTTAATCATTTATTTTATAATAAGATACAGACTTTATAATATGTATTAAATCTAATAAGGAAGTCCCCTCTCCTCCCTCAAAACCTTGTTCTTCAAAATTATTTTGGGTTATTCTTGCCTTTTTACTCTTTCATAAAACCTTTAAAACCTGCTTGTCATGCTCTGTAAGAAAGCTTTTGGGATTTTTATTGAGAATGCATTTATAGGTTAATTTAAAGAAGGTTAATTGACTTCTTTATGATTGTTGGACTTGCTTTCAATCCAAGGATAAATCTAAATTTGGTTAAGATGTTTTAAAGCTTTTTAAAAACAAAACATTGCTGAAGTATTTTCTTATTTTTTTAAAAAAGCTCATAAAGGAAAATGGCCTATAAGTTCCTTGTTTTATGCTGTACTTTTCTAGATATATTGACCTCCTGAAATGAGCCAGGGTGTAGGCTTTCTAAAAGCATTTGTCTAAAATTAAAATGACTTGTTCCTCTTTTCTTTTTATAGTACATAAAGTTGGTCTCTAACTCATTAATTTTCAGACCGCCCCGTCCTCAATCAATGTTTTTGGTTTTTTTGGTCCTGGGGATTGAACTCAGGGGCACTCAATCACTGAGCCACATCCCCAGCCCTATTTTTTTTTTTTTATTTTATTTAGAGACAGAGTCTCACTGAGTTGCTTAGTGCCTCACTTTTGCTGAGGCTGGCTTTGAACTTGTGATCCTCCTGCCTCAGCCCCACAAGCTACTGGGATTACAGGTATGCGCCACTATGTCAAGCAATAATTTTAAGCTCTGCATTTATCTCTGGGTACCACTTTAGCTGCAATGCACAATTATCATTTGAAGCTTTTTAAAAAATATATACTTTTTAGTTGTAGTTGGACACAATACCTTTATCTAATTTATTTATTTTTATGTGGTGCTGAGGATTAAACCCAGGGTCTCGCACGTGCTAGGCGAGCGCTCTATCGCTGAGCCACTAGCTCCATTTGCAGGTATTTTTATCACTGAGAATAAATAATTTTTTCTACAAGCCTTAATGGCTACCTGAGGTAATCTGTCTTCCACTGTTTTTTGTTGCTGTTTTTGTTGCTGTTTGCTTTTAATACTGATTTTTGACATTTGATGAGACTTGCTTTTCAGCCTAATTTTAATAACATTTTCAATAAAATAAGGAAGTGGAGGAAACGTCTCAACAGAGGCTAAGATTGAGAACTGGACATTTTTTATGACAAGCGG